TTTTTTGCGCAGGTGCTGGAGTGGGCTCAGGAGAAGAGGACGCTCTGTGTCCTGCACATCCACGGCGTTTACACCAACCCCAGCGGCATCGTGCTCCACCCGGCCGGCTACCAGAACGTGCTGCGCAACACGGAGGTCATGGTGAGCGCAGTTTTGGGGTCCCGTACGTCCCTCTCCTGCTGGCCCTGGTGGAGATAAAGCTTGCCTCAACCAAATATCTCTTTTTTTTTAAAGCGAGAGATTCAGAAGCTGTATGAGAAGAAGTCGTTCCTGTTCTTGGGTTGCGGTTGGACGGTGGACGACACGACGTTTCAGGCCCTGTTCTTAGAGGCGGTCAAGCACAAGTCGGACCTGGAGCACTTCATGCTCGTCCGCAGGGGAGACGTGGACGAGTTCAAGAAGCTCCGGGAGAACATGCTGGACAAAGGCATTAAAGTCATTTCCTACGGAGACAAATACTCAGACTTGCCCGAGTACTTTGAGAGGCTGACGAGCGAGATCGCCACACGGGGTCGAACGGGTACGTCCACCACCTCTGCTTTTGCCTCGGGGATCCTATATTCCTTCAACTTTTTTCAAGAAACAAAAATAATTAAATCTGTCTGCAGGCCTAGCTGAAGCTGAGCTCTGCTTTTATGTGCTCACACCCAGCCCTGCCACTTCCCACGCACCCAAACGTTGTTTTTCACGTCCCCAGGTGTGCCGAGGGAGGACCAGCAGCTCAACGGCCCCGACGAGATAAAAGGTAACACCCTTGAGCCCCAAGAGCTTTGGCCCCTTCACCATCCCAGAAGCTTTTCCAGAGCCTTTGTTTTCCCACAGGACAAAACGCTTGAGCTCATCGGACTCCAGAAGCCGGCGGCTCCCATGTGGTTTTACGGCCGGACACCCACTTTAACATCAAAATCATCTTTTTAGGGAAGCTGCCCCGGTCTGGGGAGCATGGTCACCTCTCATTTCAGACTTAGTGCTTAAAAATGTGAAACTTGAGCGTTATTTTTTAACTCGAAAGCCCTAGTTTTCTAGTCCCCTCTTTATACTGTACAGTAATTTGTACGTTAAGTGATTTGTACTTATTAAAAGCCTCTTTGCTGAACTTCTGGCTGGTTTGTGCTCCACACGCCTTCGCGCCCACGTCCCGCCCCCCCCTCCCAGGAGGAAACAGGTCCTGGCCGGAGGCAGAGTTAGTTATTACACAGAGAACAAATTATGAAGTTTATTTCATATAAATTATGTCTCTTTAGCAGACAGCGGTCGATTTATTGCACTAGAGCACATCTGCAATACAGAGCTACAAGACATCGGAGGAGAGGTTTGTATTATTCCGTGTAGCACTTCAGACCGGGATCAAGAGGCACTCGAAGGGGGGGAAGAGGGGGAGAAAGGGTGCAGGAAAGCAGCAAGCAACCACCGTTACCTTCCAGTATTCATTATTTTTTCCTTTTCACTAGCAAATAACGCCGAGGCCGCCAGGCAGGAGCCAGGCGGGGCGCTCACCGCCTTCCTTTTCCAGCTGCAATGGGATCACACCACCACAGCTCTCCAGCTCCTGCCCAAATATGCCACGTCTGGAGTCGCGCTGACGACCGAAACGGGGAATTTTAAGGCAATTTAGCATCTTCCCCCTCCAAGCCCGGCACAGTTTTTGGTTTATCAGATTGAGCGGAGCTTCAAATCAGCCAACCCTCCCACTGCTAAGCGGCAGCTATCCTGCTCGCCGCTGACAAAAATCATTCCCCTGCTCTAAAAAAAAATGAAAAGAAATCAAAAGCAGCTCCAAAAAAATGCCTTCAACCCCCTCCCCCCCGAAAAAGCACAGCAGATCCTTAGGCTGCCCGCCCCACCCTGCCACCGCGCAGCACGAACAATAAA